CATTCCTGTTCTCTGCAGTGACTGTTGTAGTATTAAACAGCTCTTTTGACAGGTCTGATCTGCAGAGCTCACCAGCTTCACCTCTGGTGACAGGCCTTCACCTTACCAATTCCTTCGTACACCTAAATTCTAAATAAAACCTCCCAATACCCTGGGAGGTCCCTCTCACTCTCCTGCCAAGGACATAGCCATGATTCCAGAGCATTTCTAGCATCATCCCTATGGTGCTAAGCCAGAAGATAGCAGGGGAGGAACCCCCTTACTGAAGCAGCCCTCCATGGATGCTCTTCTGCCCCAACCAGCTGGGCTGAGAAGCAACAGGGACCGGTGTGACCGCGGTACCCGACGAGCAGCACACGGAGCAGCTCGCTCAGCTGGTTTCATGCAGCTCCATTTCTTGCATTATGAATGAAAAGCACATGCAGAGTGTGGAGGGATCCAAGGCAGCTGCAATATTCATCAGCCCACCACAAAGGTGGGGTTTTAAGAAGACAGAGTTTCTCTCCTGGCCTCTAACTTTGAAGAGCACATCGTTAAATTTTAACTAAGGGCAGAGCACTGCGAGTCTTCCAGCTCCAGGAGTGATTTCAGATGTTCCTACTTCCTCGGTTGCGCCGATCCAACCACTTGAGCGCGGTGCCAAGGACATTACACACGGGAACGAGGGGGTTTTAAAGAATCTCTCCAGTGGCAATGTGCTTTGTTTTAAAAAGCGAACAAGGTCACAGAAGCACCAGCTTGGAGAGCCCCTGGAAACGTTCAGAATTGCAGCAGTGTCAAAAACCCCCAAAGCTGCTCCTCGATATGTAGAGGGAAATCCTTACCAGGCTACATGAACCAAGCCAAATCCTCCCTGCATAATATTTTCAGAAGACAAAGCTGTAACCATGGCGTAAGAGGAGGAAGAAAAGAAAACACCATGAAAATAATAATAATTAATATGAAGACCTACTGATGAAAGCTTGACTGTGTGTGTGCCTATATTGCATTTTAAGAAATATCACTGTGATAACAGTGCATGCATGGAAGTATTTGTTTTTTATCTCAAAAAAACCTATGATGCAGCTGGAGACTTTCTTTTTCACACCTACAAAATCCAGTTTTATAATATCCGTCCCTTAACTGTTTTGCAAAAAAAATTCTAATGTAAGAGCTCACAGCATTTTAAAACAAATGCAACAAAAAGACTGTATCAAAAGTATTGGTATAAAAGAAACTGGAGTAAATTACACAGACTCTCAATATGTAGACATAACTGTAAAACATTCATGAATTTTAAGTAAGGAAACATTCACATGCCTCTGGATTTTAAAACAAGGGCTCATCCTACTATATTTAAACACATATTATGTTTATGCAAGAGATAATTGGTCATACATGCATCAAAATATAAATAATAATGAAGACTGGATTGTGTGTGGGAAAAATCCAGAGTGCTATTTCCATATCCGTGACACTATGCATCTGAGAGGAGCATGGCAGGAGATTCTCCTCGTATGAAATAACTGTTGTATGAAATAACTGAACGAGAAGCCCCACGGCCAGGTGAGGTGGCCGGGGAGTCGCTGACCTTTTGGGCTGGCAGGTTTCCCTGGAGCTGCCTCCTCTGCAGAACATTCCCTCTGGTCTTAGCCATCCCCCTGGAACTTGGCGCTGAAGCTCTGCAGCTTGGCATTTTTATAACTTAGAGGAGATGGATGTAAAGTTATGACACCTTAGGCGACTGCTGGAGCCAGGCTGTGATTCCACAAACCTATTTTATCTGCTAAATATTTTATGGGCTCTATATGCCCTTAGTAGTCCAGAAATAAAGACAGAGGCTGTTTTTCCATACGGTAGTTCCAGATACTTACTGTATTGAGTGCATTAAGTGTAGTGTCATCACGGGAGGCTGCGACACAGCCATCTTCTGTGGAACCCCCATCACACATGCCTGCAAAAGCTGCCATGCTCCTTTATAGTTTGAGGAAGAAAAAGAATAAAACCCCAAGTTTAAATGCTTCAGTCTGTTTGATGTACACATACAATACATAAAATGTACATATACAATACACAAACAGCATTTTTTTGCAAACCAGAAGTGCTTATTTACTCCCAAAGGGCTACAACACCCACTAGTACAGACCCTGGGTATTTCTTTTTCTGATTAACCTACCAGGCACACGGGAAATCTCTATGAACCTCAAATACAAACTACAGCTCATTAAGGAGAAATATTACGTCCTTGCAGGAATCTTGTGCTTTCCAGGTTAATCCACTCACAGCAGTCACTGCCCCTTTTATCCAAAACACCCTCAGTATTTTTATCTTTGTGCTAGCACATGCTACTGGCTTTGTGTTTTCAACACCAGAGGAGCAGCCAGTGGAGATGCTCTGCGGTGGCCTGACATCAAACCAGAGCATCCTCATAACAAACTGTTTCAGTGTGTCTCTGACATCCATGCTAGAGCGGGGCAGAGCACGGAGGGGTGACCACAGCACAAGGGTGCCTGCCCCTTTTTCTAAAGGGCCTTTTGGAGTTGGTGGGGCTGCCTTGGCTCTAATTACCTGGCTGCCCTAAGGTACATGAGCAGGTCGCAGTCATTGACTCCTGGCATCCACACAAGCTCCTCGTGCTGCGTCACGGTGTCTCCGTCCGGCGAAGGGAACGGCTGCAGATCGGGAAGTTTGGCCTAGGAGAAAGGAACAGTAAGCAGGGACAAGCGTGGTTAAGGTCTGCATTCCCTAGGATTTACCATCTTGCTGGGAGCAGGTCCTTGCCAACAGCTCGTGAAGGGATTTAACCCACATTTCAGAAGTTTATGGGAAACTACAAAGGTTCAGGCATCAGTATAAAGCCCTTCTGTATATACACACACCAAGCATAATCAGCTCCCTAGAAGCACCACGGCTTAGAATTAAACCATTTTACTTGGCTTAACATAGCCCTGTATTACGCAGAAGTCAAATACTGTGGGGCAACTTACCCTCAAAGAGGCAAGAACGTGGCTAGCTCAGGAGTTGTGCTGCATTTCAATTCTGCAGCCAAAACCCACACATTTAGTTTACAAAGAAGTCCTCCCTAAATTACTAAAATCCCAAAGAAAACTCCTGAAAGCGAGAGCGCTCCATGAGAGGAACTCCGAGTTCAAACTCGGATGAGCATCAAACTGTATCTAGAGACTTAATTAGCATCTTCAGTCACCTACTGCAGTGGGATAAGATAGCTGAGAGCCTCTTCGGAAACAGCTTTTAAAAGCCCTGTAATTACCTCCTATACTTACAACACTAAACATATTTGAGAGGCAACATTTATACGTAACCAGTAATTACAAGTCACAGGTTCAGCTGTCTTTCATGTTCTGCTCTTTAATCTGTACTTTATTTTACTTCTTTCCTGGGAAAACGTGTGTGTCACTGAGCAAGCCTTCCGGGGAAGGATAAGCAACATTCTCATCAAGAGCAGAGAAATTTCATCAAGAAAGAGCCAAGAAGAAAGCTCCCCAAGATGAGATTTCTGTGAGAGCTAGGCATGCTGGTAACCAGCACTCATCCTTCTGCACCCTAGGAACATGCTGAGGTCATTCATTTGTTAGAAGTTCTCCTAGGAGAACATCTAGCAGAGACCACTAACCACTCTCATCCTCATACACCTGAGGATTTTGAGAACAAGCATGACCCCAAAAGACATTTACCTTTGCTCCTGTCCATAGCTGCTATGATAAGGAATAGTTTGAAGCATCCATGTACTCAGGGCAGCCACGAAACAGCCCTGTACTCTGCAGAGCACATCCAGGTTGAGGAAGAGGAAGGTAATGGTAACTGCCACCCAAGAGAAGCCAAGAGCAGGATCTGGGGGGTGACTTTGTACCTGCTCCGTATCCCTTCCGCTGAGCAAGGCAAGTGGAGGGAAGCAAATCCACACGCGGATTAAGCAGCTCAGCAAAGCCATGGACGGGGATATTGTCCCCCTTCCACAGGCTGGATGAGACTACAAAGGAAAAGGACCTGCAATCCTCCCACCGCAGCCGAAACGCAGGAGCTGCCCTATCTTTCAAGATTACGCCTTATGTTAATTAACAAGAGGAGAATATACCCTCTTAGCAAGGATACCTGTCAGGAATGTGGATGCTCAGCAGGTGAAAGCACTAGAGAAGTTTCAAATATTGAGCAATCAAAAGTTAAATGTGCCCTAATTTAGTGGGCCTTCTTTGTACCTATTTCTTTCTCTCCATAAAAGTACCCGGTAATTACACCTTAGAGCACAAGTGACTAATACCTGCCAAAATATTAGATGGGAATCTGAGATGAAAGTTGCTTTGGAGGTACCATTTACAGTATTTGTATCATGACTAATGAAAAGAATCATCGAAGTTTAATTACTGAAGACTTTTTTCCTTTAAAGACAAAATATCCTCAACAAGCGTTTATTAGCTCCGGTTCTCAAAGCCATCAAATCATAAAACTGAGGTTGCCCCATCTTTAAAATCTAAACTTGTCCTATGTTTAAAGGATCAGAAAGTAAAAAGAAAACTACATTAAAAATTGCTGCAAAATACAATACAAATGAGATATGATAGCTATATAATTACTTCCATAGAGCAGACATGAAAGGTATTTTTATAATGCTCTGAAATTAAAGTGGCTCCCCGAACTGCTCCACTTATAAACAGCACCTTCATTCTAAGGCAATTATTGAATGAGCAAATACACAACGGACCCAATGACTCCTATGCTGAACTGCCATGGTTGCCCAAGCTCAATTTTGCATGCAAAAATTAGAAGAGAATATGCCCAAGTACAAGGGTAAGACTGGTCAACCAGGACATGCAACACTGCGGAGCTCACACCAGACAACCACTAAAGGGAAGGCAAATTTACAGCTCATCTTGTATTAATGACAACTATATTAAACCAACACACTTAAAAGCCCTGTATCCTCCCTTAAAACATATAAACATCTATGTAGGCCTTCAACAAATCAAGTGGTTTGCAATGTGCCCTTTGGGTATGAAAATACAACAAAATAAACCTTACCTGATGGCTCGGTCCAACTCTGATTTCACCTTGGGTACTGTTTAACCTCCTAGCATGGGGAAAAAGAAAAAAAAAAAGCAGCAAAGAATAAGAATTACAACATTTACCTAGCATGGGGAAAAAGAAAAAAAAAAGCAGCAAAGAATAAGAGTTACAACATTGGGATAATTCTGCATGATTCACCATTGCATTTCTAATGGAAGTGGAAGAGAAGCAAGAATGCATTAAAATATTTATGTATATTTATGTACATGAGATCAGGAGTATAACGGCACACGTGGCCCATGGCAGAGACCCACGGGACCCATGGGAGCTTAACCCAAAAAGAGGGTGATTCCCTGGCAGGACTTGTCCTCCCGCAGCAGGCGGTGGCAGGACGTGCATCTACCTCCTTTTTGGCTCGTTAGATCCCACACAGCAAGTCCAACGACCCTGACCTCCAATCGAGACCCTTCAGGTCTTACACTGCACTGGACTCGGCCAACTCGAAACCTGCTACGTGCAGAGGAAGCCCCTCCAATGTCTGGCTTTTTAGCCAGATAAAGTGATGTTTTTAGCCAGAATATACTAATATTCTACTCAGTGCCCATTTTAACATAGTTAACAAAAAAACAGCAGTGAAGTGACTTTGGATATCACATCCAAAACTAGCTATCTCTCATGTTAAGAAGTTAAATGAATGATTGCTGGGGCTATTCATTTGCTAAGATCTCAGAGAGCATCACGGAAGCACGGAAAATCTAAAAACAAGAAAACAGGCCCTGCAATATTTGGTTAAAAAGACACAGAAGTGAATTTGATTGATTCATTTCACATTTACGCGAGTCCCAACACACTGGTGAGAAAGTGTGCACACCAAAACCCAACACGCGGCCTTTAATCTGGCAACAGCAAACTGGAATTAATTTTCCAAGTTGCTGTTGCAGAAATAGTGACATTCATCTACAAGCAAGTTGCTGCCTTGCAGGCTTTCTTATGATTTCTGTCAACACGGCAGGATGATGCAGAGAAATCATTTCCTTTAACCTTAAATCAAGCCCGTTGGCCCTGTGCTAAACCAGCAAGAGACAACTCAAGCTGCAAAGGTATCACTAGAAGGTACAAGGGTGTTTGCTTGAGGTTTTCTGAGGGGGTCATTTGCACTTTTATAGGCATTTCCACCTCAAATTTCCAAGTACACTGCAAACTTATAACAAATTAAACTTTATCTTGCTCCTAATTCTGGAAATATTATGCATCACTGTGAGAAACTTCATCAATTGACACTGAAAGGGCTTTATCCAGGAGAACAGAGCAGGAGGACCTGCCAGACAGGAATAAAAACGGGTTCTGCAAGAACCCAGCTGTTGCCTTCCAACATCTAAACAACATTTCCTTCCTAGGAAGCAGATCTACACTAAATAAATGTGCCAAAAGTCTCCAAAAAGAATGAGAACATGTCAAAATGTTTCTCTCTCCTAATGGGTACTTCTCTAAGATATGACCTGACACTATTCTCTTGTCTTCAAGTTACAGAAGAAGTGACTGAACTAGAAAACAAGTTTTATATTTACAGAGTTGAAGTGAAATATTATGATACATTTTTGAACTATGAGTGGTCAGAATATTTCGTGACAAGGAATGGAGGATCTCTTCAGGTTTTCCATTAAAAAAGTTATATGAAATGATAACACTTTTATACGGTTAAAAACTCTGCTTATGTAAACCTAGAAAACTCTGCAGTAGAGTGAATATTGATCTATTAATGAATGGTAAGTAAAACAAACTGCATTCAAAATATCACTGTTCATGACAAATAAGACATTTTATTTAAGAATCAAAACTGCACAGGCTGCTGCGCCCTATAAATAATTGCAAAGAAGAGAGAAAAGCTCAGGTTGGGACTTATGCTCTTAACTGCATCCATGTGGAATTAGCTGCGGGAAACCAATAAGGCTGTTTAAATGTTATTCTTAATGTAAATTAAATGTAAAGAGAAAAACAGGTCTCTGCACCTTTTCATTACCCATTTACCGTTACGTGCCCGGGCCAGAGGAAGTGACTGGATTAAATAATATTTGTGGAGGGGACAGAAAGCCCTTTCAGCCACGTCAAGGGCACCGAGCTGATGCTCTGCAAGGGCACCCAGTCCCTCTAACGCTTTGTGGAGAGTTTCCACCTCCCCAGGAAGGGGCTGCAAATGGAAAGAACATTTCTTGCTATGGAAACTCAACCGCTCTGTAGACGTCTAAGCTCAATTATATTGGTGGAAAGCAATTACGGCAATAATGGAAAGGCGCTCGGTGTTTATTCTGTGGGAAAAGGGAAAAAGAGGAGGCAACGCCGAATATAAAACCTGACACAAAAGAAACTGATGTAACAAAGCAGTATCCATAGCAACAACAACTTAATATTTCAGGTCTCTTCAGCTGCAGTGGATTAAATATAATGACAAGATGTTCCCTTTGAAAAGTAACCCGTTGCCACGGCAACGGCGCATCCGGCGACGTAAACAGGGCCCGGGCGGAGAGGAGAGGAGAGGGCGGCCGGGGCCTGCGGAGCGGCAGGGCCGCCCGAGCGGCTCCTTCCCGAGGGCCGCGGGATGCCGGGAGCGTCGTCCTTCCCGTTCGGAAGCAACGGGGGAGGCCGGAGGTGCCGAGCGGCACCGCGGGGAAAGCGGCGCGGGCGAGGATGAGGAAGGAGGAGGCGCCGGGTGCTGCTGAGCTGCTGCTGAGGGGGGCAGAGAGCGGGGAAGAAGGATCGAGGCCTTTACTGTGCACCCAGCTTGCACCATTTCCACACTAGTGAATAACCATCTTGGTGACAGCACCAAGGACTGAAGGCGGCAGCAGCCAGGGCCGCCGGGTCCTGCTTTACTGGCTCTTGGCTGGACGGCCAACGCGGCCTCCAGGGAGGTCACTGAGGCCACCCTGCAAGGTCAGGGATCAGCGCTCCGGGTGTCACCTCAGAAACCCCAAAACTGCTCTATT